TCCACTTAATTACAAAGTGTAAGATGATGTTAACACATTCAAACACCCCTTCTTCATCACCATCGACTCAATTTAGGTTTTGCATAATTACACAAAATTATTGTTTTGATTAAGTCAAGATCTGAGTTTAAAAGTTTTTCTTCAAAGTTTTCAATTTTAAAGAGAGCACACTCACGTTTGCTTTATCATTCCTTGATCTATTTACAGTAATATTGTGAATCAACTGCACTGGTGTAGGCTTACATGAACCATCAAAAAGTGTATTGAAAGTCCCAATTGATAGTCTTAGTCCTAACGTTTCTCCCTAAAAATTTAGATTGAGATTTATATAAAACCTTTTAAAGGTACGAGGTCTGATTTCTGTTCTCCTCCTTGGGCCATTAATCAAACACTATGAGTTTCACAAGGATCAGTGCTGCCAGTTTTGAAATTAGAAGCATTTTTATGAAATCAACATGCCCATGGAGAACTGTCATATTTTTTTTGTATACCATGTACTGGTACCATAAATCAAGTTTTCATTCATATCCACACACAACGTATCTCAGCTGTATCAATCAAGCAATGAAAAAGTGTCTTCAGTAATAATGTACCATTGAACCAATGATGTAGACTACATGTAGAAGAAATCAAGTGATTTTTTTAAATCACTGATTCAATACAATTTTTTTTCAACAGCATTTATCAATTTATTTAGTTTTGTGGATGATGGGTATCATAGGAACCTGTAAACTCCTTTGTGATAGGTGTGAGGGTGCATGGGGAGATTTAGACACATGTTCAGACATATCAATATTTTGAAAGTAAAAAAAAAATTTAAAAATCTGATTTAAATCAAATAAATCCGATTTTTTTTTTATTTAAAAAAAAATGGTGGACATAGAAAAGTTGTCTGCTGTGATCAGTCGTGTCTTGCGAAGTCTCATATATATAATGATGAAAGTGATGTGAACGGATTTTCTGACGGGTAACGGACGCAAAAGAAAACATGACGACCTCCATATATTGTTTACGGATGATGAAAAATTAGTAGCGAAAAAGTGAATAAAAGCACTTTTCCACTCCTTTGATGAAATTAGATATTTTTGGTATGTTAAATAGTGATATTTCCTTAGCGTGATAGCATTAAAATTAATTTTACTGCAATTTGTTCTAGGTCAGGCCCTGTTTTGTTCTAAATTGACGGACTACAACCCGACCTGCTGCTAAGAGAAAAGAGGACGCTCACGAGGCACGTATGCCGCGGGTCATTATGGGTAGGACACCAGAGGGCGCTACTGTATAAAACTCTTAGCGGGAAATACCTGCCGGTCTAGGGAATATGCATAAGTAGATTGCTCTTCAGGTATAAAGTTGAGTGAAGTAGACACATGGTTTTCACCTTTGAAGTACACAGTAACTTAAAATTTGAAAGAGCAATTTAAAATATCCTTATAAATAATCTTTAAACATTTTGCTCAAACAATTCAGGGGGATAGGGGCCAGGAATCGCCTCAGATTGCACCACAGAGTATCTAGAATCCAAAATTTGTAAAACTACCGGTACTAGCCCGGTAAACATTGAAACAAACCTACTCGTCTACGCCACAGATGCACACCAAAATGTTATTTATCAAAGTTCTAGGAAACAAATTACGGAATTCCTTAACATTTATTTGAAAATTAACAGTCGGTAGTAAATTGATTATTCTGATTGGTTAAGATTAAATAAAAACGACCGATAAGGTTTACTTTTCATCCCACAACGTTCAAAATGAACGTATATCCCGGAGTATGCACACAAATAATGCAGTGTAAAACTGTTGAATATTGGTCGACAGAGGGTGCTAGTCTTGAACGGCGAAACAGAGCTCTGAAATAGCAAACTCCGCATAAGTTCAACAAAGTTACACATGCAGATGAATTTTGAGCTTATTTTGATACTTAATTATTAATGTTTGGGTTGTTTTTATTGGTATATTTCCTGATGATACAAGAAAAATCGATGATGTCCGGGTCATATGCGGTTTGAAACCACTGTGCATAAGTACTGCACACATTTCACGATAATTGAAGGGCTTGTTCCTCAACCTTTTGTTCCAAAAATCTGCTGATTTTTGTTCGAGGAACCAAGCTCCTCAACCTGTGGACGATGCATCGGTAAACATTTGAAGTTCCACAGGTCGTCGCTGTATTGGAGTGTGGTTCCAATTGTTTAGGGCCTTGTACCACCATTGCAGGTCCGTTATCACTGCTGGCGTGAGTTTCAGACTGTCGTACCAAGAAGTCTTGGTTGCTATGACCCTGTACACATTGACACTCACACTGTCCTTGCTTGTATGGATGGTTTTCGTAGACCCCTCTGAATGTCTCGCCGGAGTTTTCGCGTTCTCTCTTGGGGAATGCATATAGTTGGCACAGTGCCCAGGTAGGTTGAGATATATTATACCAGATCCACAATTTTGTGTGTTCAGGTACCAATGAGGATTTGTCATAATTAATTGTCTACCCAAGGTCCTCTAGAGTGGCAATTAGGAAGTCTGATTCGGCAGTAATATCATTAAAGGCGCACCTGACAATAATACCTTTCTGAAGCAAGTTCTTAATCTCACTGTTTAAAACAGTTTTTTGATCACTTGAAAAAATGTTGTGAGGCAATTCAATCACCGGTGGGTAAGTGGTAAACGGGAGTGTAACACCGCATTAAAATGAACTAATTAAAGTTGACGCACCTATTTCTTGTCACTCGGAGTAGTTTGTGAGTGGCATGATTAAGAACTATTCTCCTGCATACTGAGGTTGGTTGGGAGGATGGTTTGCTGCTAAGCCAATGAACACATCCGTGCTACCTTGATCACGACCACCTACACCTCTACTTAAATTTCAATAACTTCTGCCTCTGGGGGATTTGACCTTGGATTTGAATGTGCCCCTGATGTTGATTTTCTTGAAGCTGCGTCTAGTTCTGCTGCTACTTTTAGCTGGTTTATCCCTCGATCAGAGAAGTGAGCATTGTTCTTCAGAAAGCTGCGAAACAATTTGGAGGTATCCTCATCAAATTGCGATGCCATTAATAAGTACCCTGAATTCACGCTGATTGAAGTCCAATGTGGCTTTCAAGATCACAGCCAGCTGGTCCAAGAATGCTGGATCCACACTTTCATTCTTGTGAAGGTTGGTGTACACTAGCTGAAGCACTTTCAGAGCTGTTTCTACGTAGCGACTGCTCTTTTGTAGCAGAAAATAAAGTGCCCTCTCAGTTTTATTATTGGTACCTGATGGACAGGGGCCCTCAAACAGCCCGAGCAAACAGTCCAGTTGTACTTGTGAGACGGTATCCTTTACCGCGCTGAACTCCTTCGGGATGGTCAGTGACTGGTGTGTCAGTGACTGGTGTGTTTGCCTGATTCTCACAGGCGCAATCGGGCTTGTCGTGCTGTGTCGTTTCAACCACACTGTTCTTTCGGGACAATCCTCGTTTTTAGCGCTGATAATCTCTTCTGAATATCGTTGAGCCCAGTCAGAAGTTGTGTATTCTCACCAGAATTATGTTCTACAACATTTTGTGACAATTTGTCAATTTTTTACAGCATCGAAAGCCGGATCATGTGGCATGAATGCGCGATAGAACACAAGACCCTAGATGTCATGACCTGAATAATAAATAAACAGGACATAGGTCATGACATCCAAGCCCACAGTGTGGGGGCGCTGTTCCATTGTAATTACTGTACTCCTGATGTTTGTAGTGTATGTGTATGTTTATACGTATACTGACTTACAGGGTACCGGGAACAAAGGGCAACAATAGGGACAATGGTATCCTACAAGTTGGTCTTTAGAAATCTAAGTACCCTATATGTAAAACGCTATGGAGTTTGAGATTTCAATAGGAACAAAGGACAATAAAAGAAGGGAAGTCAAGTGGACAATAGTGGTACCCCATAACTACCCAAAAACACAGTTGGGTGTGTGGGGTGGGGATTCTTGGCCCAGTTATAATAAACCACTTAAAATCACTTAAAATCACTTGAACTCTCTTCAAAATTTGTTGTACACTATTTTTTGCTGCTACGAAGAAAATAGCCATACCATCTAAAAAATGAAGTTTTCAGCAACTTAATTACCAAACCTTGATTCTTTCTTTTCTGGCACATACCTGTACTTACCAACTATCTCTGTGCACATGGTATGGTTAGTTGACCTACTCTAGAACCTGCAGAATGTAGATACCCTGCCTTTTTTCTTTACACTGTTATGTATCGTCACAGAGCTGACATACCGGCGAATCAACCATTTTGGCGATTTTGAGATTTTGTTATTTTGGGGGTTTATAAAGGTTGCTCCTTCAAATGTTTAAGCCAAAATTCTTAATTCTTGTCTGTATTTGGAGATTCGGAGCCCCGCCTGTGGCGAATCAGTCACAATAACAAAATCCATAATTTGACATAGTGACGAATACAGAATTTTGCTGGTAACCAGCTAATGTAAGGTGTGCGTTCAAAGTACCAACAATTCAACGAATGTTATTTGTCAGTTTGTCGAATTGCGAGCACGTGCGCGCGCGATCCGACGAATAGCATACAAACAGTGTGTAGAACAACCGGCTATTTAGAGATTTTGTAATTTGACAAACTGACAAATACGTTTACGATCAAATAAAATCATATCGCACAACTTCTCTGATTAAATACTCCAAACAGGGTTTTCACTTATTCATCGGTATGTCAGGTCTGCGACGATATGTGCAATTGTACATAGCTTTTATTTTCCACTATTTTCAGGAAGATAATAGTTTATTAAAGTAAATTAAGTGTTTTGATGAGGAACTTGATTACATTATTTTGCCATTAAATACCACGGAGGTACATGGGTACACCTATACAGATGCCTGTTCGAAAAATAAGATTCTGGCAGCTGAAAATTACTTTTATACATCAAACAATGTTTTAAGGACCCGATTATATTGACATTCTACTGTAATCTCAACTTAATGAAAGTAAAAGTGAGAAATAACTTACCACTGGATTTAGATTTTGGAAGTACCTGAGGGAGAGAAAGAGAAAAATAGGAGGTTAAACATAAGCTTTCTGTATTCTTTTGTGACTTCCGTTCAAGGCCCAGGAGAACCCATTGCTCTCAATCATCCATACTGGTACCAGATACCGGTAGGCTTGGGCAATTCCATGCCGGAATGCACAATTCCACTTTTTGAGGAATTCACTCTTTGAAGTAGCTGATTCCAGGTCGCTGAGCGTTGATTCCAGTTTACATGTGATGATTTTGAAAAACCTGCCAACTTCCACACTACTTTAAAGAACGCCCGATTCTTTAACGGAACAGACTCTCTCTAGTTTTAAAAGCATGCACTGCGTCAAAGACAAGCTGACAGCATAACTCTCTGATGATGCCACATTAAAGGAGCACTTTTCTAAGACCTATATCTACATAACTGTAGGTCCAATTTGATTGTAACTTCACAGGTACCTAGACTTTTGGGTAGGGTGCCTAATTTGTAGGGTGCATTGATACCTGCCATGTAATATATTTATTCCCATATTTGGGTATATATATATATTTTCTTTTTGAAAAGTATATTTTGGGGATTCTACTTACATATATATCCTTACTTCAATAACATTTTCTTAAGCATAAACATAAATAAAGTGACTGAATAATTATGAGGACAAAGTAACGATAACAAATGACTACTATTATACCCTAAACTTGAAGTTGCGCACATTTACCAGATATCGTCAAGTGATCTCACCAAACGTCGGTATCGATGAGCTTGAATTTCACAAAGTTACTAACTAGCAGAGTAACCCTAACAAAAAATAAATGGGAAATCATGTAAAAAATTATTAGATCTGCTTAGCCCAAGAATCAAAAAAAGGGAAAAAATAGGTGTCCATAAATTGGGCTAAAAATTACGCGATGGGTTGCCTAACGTGGGGGACTTGCACAAGTTCAAGCGAATCCCCCAAAATAAAAAAATTATTGTTGTTGACAATAATGATGCCTACGTCAAAAGTTTTCTTACCAATAATTTTGGGAATTTCCTCGAACTTGTTCAAGTCTCCCATGTTAGGCAACCCTTTTCCTTACTTTTAGCCCAATTCACAGACACCTCGTTCCCCCCCCCCCCCATTTTTCATGTATGTTTGTGCCTTCCACTTAGTTTGTCTCATTGTGCCCAGGTATCCCACTCGACGCCATCAGCCTTTGTCCCTTAATAAGGCTTAAATACGGCATGACATAATCAGTCTTTTCTTACTCTAATGTTTGTTTCAATACGTCTATTGATGCTCCGTATTCAAATGATGTAGTAGTCTTTTAAGACTCTAGTGTATGTGGTTTGGCCTTGTAGAATTTCTTAATTCAATTTGGTCTGGCCTAGTAGCCTTAGAATAAATGGTTCTCCTTTAATGTACCCAAAACAGCTTGACTGTTTGTCTCCTTATTTTATGTAGTTCATTAAAGTTGATTAAGATGTTTATTTTGTTTTCCTTAAAAATCTGAGTTATTAGGAATAAAGGAGACCTATGGAAGTGCAGCCAGCAATGTCAATGTTCCCTTCCAGGTGATAAATAGGGAGCTACAATTTTTTTTAATTCACAATTATTGATTTGCTCTTCATCAGTATAATTCACGGTCAATTTGCATGGCAAAAAGAAAGCAACGAATATTCCTTTTACAGAAATGTAGCCCAGTTGATTTTATGGTGAGTTTTATTGGAAACTTATTTTGAGTATATATATCTTTTCGGGGTATAACTTTGGGAAAATTCACAACATGGAAATTTTGGACATTTATGCCACCATAGCGCCAGAATATGTGGGTAAAATGAATCGCCAACATGCGAAGACTAATGGATGTCTCACACTGCGCATGTGCAGCATGTAACTCCTCAGTGACTACACCGGCAATAGGCTATGAACATACATGTTTTGTTTTCTGGGCTAAACATCACGATGTTATCGTTGTTCACTTGATTTTCCATAAAGTTTGAATAGGGAACTGTGCCAAGGGTAAGCAACTTGATGAATTTGGAGCTCATCAATACTGAGGTTTGGCAAGACTACTTGAGGATATCTTGAGACAAGGTACATGCGTGCAACTTTAGCTTATAATAGTAGCCAATTTGGATTGTTACTTTGGCCTCATGATTATTCAGTCACTCATATGCTTTAGAACATTTTATTGAAGTATGCGAAAGTAGAATTACCAAAATATACTTTTCAAAAAATCAAAAATATACCCAAATTTCCCCACAGAAGTGTGGTGGGAGTCTACGAGCAATACTTACCTGTAGAGCCACTACATTTGCATATTCCCCTTACCGGCAGGTTCCATTCGCTAAGAGTTTATACAACAGCGCCCTCTATAATACTACCCACACTGCCCTGCACCACGAGCGCCATGTTGGCTTCCTCTTTTCTCGTGCTCTACAGGATTAAGCTCTTGTTATGGAACTAGTGGGGAAAGGAGGGAGGGATGCTCTACAGGTAAGTATCGCTCGTAGACTCCCACCACACTTCTGTGGGGGGGAAGTCTACTTCACTCGCTTACCTGTAGAGCCACTACATTTGCATAGAGTAGCACCGCCTTAAGGTGGTGGGCAGTGAGATATGTGTACTGTAAGTTCCAGTTCAATTAGTACGGAAGTATATAGACAATATAAACTCCCTGTAAGCTCTATGTATATGTACATGTAATAGTCAACCCATACACATTAATTGGGGAACTACTATGAAAACTAGTAAAGAATGAAGCATTGACTGGGACTCATGAAGTCAAATCCAATGTTAAGGTCTTTCTTCTGAAGTCTTGACGGCAGATTTTTTGGCTGCTGTCAGGACGGGGCCGTATCATAAGTGCGACACCTCATAGGTTCGACGCTTTCAGACTTATGAGGCCGTCGGACTTATGAGGCAAAAAAATTATTTATTCTGCATCATAGGTCCGATGCCTCATTAATCCGACGCCTCATAAGTCCGACGTTGAAAAAAACGAGGTGTTTAATTTGTCAGACTAACGAGGCGTCGGAGCAGTGAGGCGTCGGACCTATGAGGCGTCTGACTTATGAGGCGTCGGACCTTTGAGGCGTCGGACTTATGAGCGGACCCCGTTAGGACTGTACATCCAGGTCTTCCCTCAAACTGCAATACATCTTTCAGGTAGCAGGCTTAGAATGTGTTGGGAGATTTCCAGCAAGCAGCTTGATGATGATGAAGATGATTTTTTCCAAGGGAACCCCTTTGAAGAAGGCCAAGGATTTTGCGATCGCTCGAACATCATGTTAAAGCAGCATAGTGTACCACATGAGAATTTATTAACTGTATATATGGGATATATCAGACCTCTTACCGAATATGCAGCACCAGCTGGAGTGGAGCCCTGACTCAACACCAAAACAACGCATTGAGAGGATCCATAAACGCGCACTGCGGACAGTATTTGGATCTGCCTACACAACATATGATGGGGATTTCTAGGGATGGGGTGGGGTGGGGACGGGTGGGGACAGGTAAGGAGAGACAGGTAGGGGGCCCACCCCACCCCAACCACCCCACCCTTGTGACTTGACTTGACTTGACTCCAATCAATTTGTTTTGCTGACATTAACACGTTTCTTAAAGTTACAACAACAAAAAACCTCTGGGCGTTCGTGCGCACTTGCATGATAGCTGGGCATCCTGAGCCTGCCACACGTCATGTACATTACTAGCACTACGCTTGTGTTATGGTGAAGTTTGTGCCGTACGTAGTCTGAGTACCATCCATTGTTATAGAGCGGTCATTCCATGGAGACCATAGGCTACACTGGGTACACATTGAGTGGTTTACTGTAAGCGTGCTACATGTAACTTGGGTTTAAACAACTAGAAAACGGCTGCTACCCCCAATCCACCATAAAATAGAAAGAATTCACATCATGCATTAAACGAACACGTTTGGAAAGACATTTTGTCAGACATCCCTCAAACATTCAACAAGATGGAACAAGTTTGAAAATATTATATCAAAATGCATTTTTAGACTCTTGAGAGAGGATGTTGAAAAGTGTGATTTTTTTAAATCTCAATACATGATGCACGTTTTGATAAACCCCATTCCAATCTCTACTCCGGCTCCGTCGTCGAACACATAAACTGGTTCCCGTACTGGTGCATCTAATATTTGTTTTAAATGACTCGAAACTTGACTTGACTTGAAAAAAAAATTGACTTGGGACTTGACTTGTGAACAATTGACTCGAGACTTGACTTGACTAGGAAAAAAATTGACTTGAGAATTGACTTGACTTGCTAAAATTTGACTTGGGACTTGACTTGACTTGGAAAAAACATGACTTGGTTACAACTCTGCAAAATAGGCATAGTTAATATGAAGTCACATGTCACATGATGACGTCATCATTGTGCATTCCAAAAATATATGTTCATAATGACAAAAACTGTCATTTACAAAAAATGTACATGTACATAACTATATAACATGATTAATTTGAACTAAATGCATCCCATTTTTTATATCAAGTTGAAATTAATTTAAATTTAGATTGATCATTTATCATTCATTCCAAAAATGTATTTTCACAATCACTAAAACTGTGATTTATATAACTTTATAAGATATTTATTTTGAACTAAATGCAGCCAAGTGTTTTATTTAAAATTGAAATGAATTTGAAATCAGATTGATCATTTATCATTCCAAAAATAAAATTTGATAATGACGAAAACTGTAATTGACATAACTTAAAAAGACATTTAATTTGAACTAAATGGGCATCAAGCAGAGTGTAGAATGGGAAGAGATCAATGGTTGGCCATATTATCCTCAATCAAAAATGTGTATTGTCATAATTGCTTGCTTATGTACCTTTGACTGAGTGCTTTTCCTTAACACATAATTTTTGTCTTTAACACTTTGTTTGACAATTGCTTGCTTCTCAGATTCCAAGCTTTATTTATAATGTAATGTTCTTGATGACTGCATGCCAATAGAAAGGGTACCCCTGTAACAGATATCCATAGAAA